TTACAAGGCCGTGTGCGAGAAGAGAAGGAAAATGACGAAGAAGGTGAGGAATAAGCGATGATATGGGACACATCGGTGAAAGAGAGAGAGAGAGAGAAAGAGAGAGAGAGAGAGAGAGAGAGAGAGAGAGAGAGAGAGAGAGAGAGAGAGAGAGAGAGAGAGAGAGAGAGAGAGAGAGGGAGAAAGAGAGAGAGAGAGAGAGAGAGAAAGAGAGAGAGAGAGAGAGAGAGAGAGAGAGAGAGAGAGAGAGAGAGAGAGAGAGAGAGAGAGAGAGAGAGAGAGAGAGAGAGAGAGAGAGAGAGAGGAGAGAGAGAGAGAGAGAGAGAGAGAGAGAGAGAGAGAGAGAGAGAGAGAGAGAGAGAGAGAGAGAGAGAGAGAGAGAGAGAGAGAGAGAGAGAGAGAGAGAGAGAGAGAGAGAGAGAGAGAGAGAGAGAGAGAGAGAGAGAGAGAGAGAGAGAGAGAGAGAGAAGAGAGAAACAGAGACAGAATTATTCGCAACTACAAATCGGAGTATGAGAAGAAACTGAGCAACAGGTGATAGTTCTGAGATACAGTTATGTGTGTGTGTAGTTTTGTTTAACTATTTTACCGAATGATATCCCTAAAACGTCTCTGATTACTATGAAAAAAAAACGTATATGACACAGAGTTTGGGATTTACTGAAATTATAATATCGAACAAAGAAGCTTCATGCATGTGCAATAAAGATTTCTAAACGATTTCTTCATTCTATTTTTGATGTCGTTATTTCCCTTAGTTTCAAGCACAGACAAAGATCTTCAGGGATTTAGTCTCACTGCCCTGACACGCGTAGGGAAGTGTTTAAAAGCTCCGACAAATCTCCAGGGTTGAAATCAATCAACTATTTTTATATTTCTTAATCCGTTTATTTATAGACATTGAGTATCATTACTTCGACTTATGTATTTTTTTTTTATATCTATTTTTTTCTTGTTTATTATTTTCCTTTTATTTAGGTATTTATTTATTCGTTGAGTTTTGTCTTTCTTTCTTCCTTTATTTATCTATCTATTTACTTATTCGTATATTTGTTTTATTTACTTACTTACTCATTCCTTTATTCACTTGTTTACTTAGTTATACTTTTAATCTATTTCCTTACTTATTAACTCATTTATCTATTACTTCTTGCATTAATATTGACTCCTTTATTCATACACTCATTTATCAATTTATCTATTTGTCCCTCTCTTCCTTCCTTCCTGCCTTCATTCGCCTCCCTTCCTTCATTCATTCGCCTCCCTTCCTTCCTGTCTTCCTTCATTCGCCTCCTTTCCTTCCTGCCTTCCTTCCTTCGTCTTTTCCCTCGACGTCCCAGTAACGCTCGTCCCTCTCCGCCACAGGTGAGCGGGGAGCAGCGACGCCAGTACGCGGAAGAATCTAGGCTCATGTACCTTCTCGGGGGAACTTCCACCCTCTTCTTCGTGTGCATGACGCCCATGATCGTCCTCTCCGTCACCATACACCGCCCGTGGAAAAACTCACTCGCTTTTGAGGTTTGTAGTTTGTTTTGTTGGTAGGGAGAGAGAAGAGAAAAAAGGGGAGGGTCCCTTTGTCATTTTTTTTTTCGAGATTGTATGTTTATCACAGAGTAAACGTCATTACCATGGTAGGGGTCAAAGCGTTGGTTGGGGTCGCAGCTGGTGGATGGTTTGTCTGTTGTCATTGTGTGAAATATATCCTGTTCAGTTTTGCGTGTAAGGCTTGTTGGTTCAAGAGTGTCAGTACCTTTCCGTGGAAGGGATTTTGAGAAAAAATAGAGATTTTAATAGTAGTATTTTTGGTATTTTTAGTAGCCGTTTGGACTTTACTTGTGTGTACTCATGTATGTCTATTACTTCGCAGATTTTCCGCGCGATCGCCAACGTGCTGGAGGTGACCAACTTCGCCGTCACCTTCTACATCTACTGCACGTTCTCGAAGGATTTTCGGGAGACGTTCCTCCGGACGCTGCGTTCGGCGAAGGAGAACTCCATGGGGGCGTCCTTCCTGGGGTCCGTGTCCGGCTTGAAAGAGGCCATCAGACCCCCATAGGGACGCGCCCACGCTAGGACCACGCAGACGCCCGTGCCCGTGGCTGTATGACACCACAGCACGCAGCAGGGGCGGGACGAGGAGTCACTGAAGACCAGGGGCTACGAGAGCGAGAAGGAAGCCGCGTCTCACGAGAGAAAATGCGTCATTTCGACCGTCTTCTAAACGGAGGACAGGACCGGCGCCGTCGAAGATGAGGTCCCCCTCGTCTGGACCGCAGCCGGCCCTCTCAAGACTTCCAATCGGTAGTTGAGCCCTGCGTCTACAGCGAGTGCGTCCCGCGACCTGCTGTGCTGGTTTCTGCGTGATCCTAGCGTGATGTAAAGACGAAAACTGTTTTTTATATAAAGTAATCTATTGTTTAACAAATTTGCAGTATAAAATGTTTATAGTTTTTTTTCTTTTATATTGTCGACTTTATTGCTCGAGAAGGGACTATCCTCGGGTTGTTTTATGAGTATTCTTTGTAGTTCCTAGTGATTTTCCAAAACTGAAAAAAATATGATTGATGAAGGATAATCTATTTTTACCTGGTGCTTACTTTTTTGCATATGTGAAAAAAAAACTTTTCGCTGGAGGTCTACTGCTTCCAGAAAAATAGATTTCTTTACCCAGACGAACGAGGTCCCTTTGAAAAAAAAATGACACGTAAACCTTGGCCTGAAGGAACTTTGTTACGTGACATCCACAGCAACGGGCTCTGGCAAAAGAAAATAACACAGTGTCGCTAAAAAAAAGAAGAAGAAGAAAAAAAACACACACAAGAAAGAAGAAACAAAAGAAACATATTAAAAAAACACGACCTCCTCAGATTGAAATTCAACCTCCTTCTTGACTCTCCCTTTGTCGCCTGGTGCTTCCGCAACTGTGCCCAACACAGGCCTTCGTCAGTGTGCATGTGGATAGTTCTTCGACACTAGGTTCCTTGGCATTAGTCGTGCCGGTGCAAGAGATGCAAGGTGCTGTCAGCTGGTGGCAGGTATGGGAGTCTTGAGTCTTGAGGATGATGTGTCATGAGCATGCTGTCATGAAAGTGGATAAGTATGCTGGGTAAACATGTTTACATATTTCTATCATTTGTTTTTCCTGATAGAAGCGAAGACGAGAGCCTAGATTTGTACATTTTTGCCTCGAGAGTCCTTTTTCTTTCTCCTCGTGATGAGGAGATATGCTCTCATAAAAAGGTTTTCTGTCAATGAGTCAACAAGCAAGAATACATGGGTCTAGATCTTTCATCGTCTGTGAAAAAGAATGAGTACTTGAGATTTGATGAATGGAACTTGTTTTCACTTAAAAAAAATGATTTCATTTTATAGAAACGACATACTTTACGTATTGAATACAGCCTCGTGAGTTTTCAGTGTGCTAAAAAAAATGTGTACATATTGTATGCTTCAACTCGCATGAATACATGCGTCCTGGCCTCTTGTTGGAATGGACTGCCACGTAACCACCTTCTTTCCTATGCAATTCAAGTAATCCTATTGGAATGTCCCAAAAATCAACTAGTGAAGCATGAGAAACGAACTCTAAATTAAACATGGTACCACAACAAGTACGCAGAAACATTTTGTCCTTCCATGATAAACTGATATTATGAGGCTGAACTAATGTGGTCAGTGTATCAATACTGTGGTTGATATATTATCATGATTAATAAACAATGAAGATTGTAAAGTACTCTATATGACACGCAAATGTTACTCGTTACTGGATATCATTCTTTGATCATTATAGAAATAGAAATACATGTATCTGACACGCTTCATAACAACAACAGGTCAGGAGAGAATAAAATAAAAGTTCTGAAAGGGAATTAGAGCCAGTTAACGATTCGAATGAGGTCGTGGCATCGTGACTGGGAGATGAGTGTCGATGAAACAGGAGTCAAATGAGATTTTTTTTTTGAAATGAGTATTCCAGGAAACAGGTTACCGTGGTAATTGCTGAACATCTCATGATGAGTGGTTAGACGAATGAGCGCCGCTGAGCCGACCTCAAAAAGTGGCCGCTGTGCAAGTGTACCGCCGTACCTTGAATCTGTTTTTGTGCAAATGCTGCATTACATCACTGGATCGCGTATGCTATGTTCAGCGAGAAGTGAATGTGGCCGTACGTTTGGAGGTGTTCAGTCGTGGCCTGACTTTAAGTGGCTATATTGTTGTGAGAAGTTTGTGAAGCCGCGGATCTGGCTGGTCTCGCGCGCTGGTCTTTTTTGGAGAGTTCACTTAAGTGGCTCTGAAGAGTTTAACTTTTTTGGTCAGGGAGCTTCATGCCATGCTGTGGCGGCTCCGTTGGTAGTCTGTAATCAAAAGTTCACACGGAAATTGGTCTCCAATTGGCGTGTGTGAAATTGGCTTTCGTAACGTAAATTGCTGCATAATTTCTAATCAGTAAAAATAAGGTTTTCGACTGGGAGACATCGGTGTGGATTTCCTAAACTTCCTTTTGGCCGGAGTGCGCCCACGCTCCCCCTAAATCTAATCAAACTGAAATAACTATCAAATTCTCTCGCGTCTCTTTACACTGACAGTGAAATCTGTTCCTCACATCGACGTTCCTAGTTATAGCAAGTCAGGTTTGTTGTCTAATTCAACCTAGCTTGCTTAGTGATGACCAATGTTAACGCGCACAAAATCTACATGGTAAGACTTTCAACTTTCTTAACTCTTAATTGGCGTTAGAATTAAAAATCGTCCAATGTTGCTGCATTTCTAGTGTTTCCATAGCTCAACTTAGTTTTTTTTTTGAAATAGAGAATTAATCTTAAAGACAGTTTATGGATGTAAGCGCTTCAGTATGACCACTTAAGGGCAACTTGAATTCCCGTGTACGAGATTTGATCGAATGTTAATGAGCGTCGAGATTTTATGCCTGCTACTGCTGACTTCCGTATGACACCCAGTGAGTGAAACGTGGGTTTTGTTTCCGTAGATTTTTTTTACAGTTATCACTTTTTTTTTTTTTTTTTTTTTTTTCCCCTTTTTTTTTTGGTCATTTTTATTGGATGTTCGAGTGTGTGAAGATCTATACACATGATGTAGGTTTACATGCCGTATATCTATATATGGTGAGATGCAACGTAAAAATCTTCTTAGTCCTGAATAATATATATGGAAATGCGATTTTGGAATACATTTCGGCCATGTAGAAGGAAAAGGAATAATGATGCTATTCTCCTCACGCGTTGATGTGGCATGTGAGTCTTTCTAAGCTTCCTTGTTGACTTCTGTTTTGCGTATTCAACCAAAGATCATTAATGGCGCACTGTGCTTTAGCCTTTTTTTTCCGTATTCTATTTTTTTATGATGGATAGAACATGTTGTAAAATTTCTATTTTTCTTGAAAGTCGATTTTTTGAGAGAAAGATTTTTTTAAAAAACGAAAAGGCCAGTATTAGTGAAACAAAGATTTATTTTTCTTTTTCTCTCCTCCGAATTTTATCCAGAGTCTAATGTATATAATTTGTAGCTGAGGGGATGGGACTGTGACAGTGAGTACCTTGTCTTTTTTCTCACGGGAAAATGGCTACGGTCGCCTTCCCTTTCAACGATTCTGTCTCTTTTCCCCTCCGATGGCGATTCGACCTTCTGTCATACCCATGACTAATTAAAAAAAAAAATAATAAAAAAATAAGGTCAATCTTTTTTATATCGCCATTAATTTTTCTCCCTTTGAACACACCGCCAACTCGATTGAGTTCAGGTTTGTTAATCCCTGTAAAGTTTATCAACTTACAACTTTATAGAATATATAAATATATATATATATTGAATATCAGTTAATCTCAGTTTTGTCAGAGTTTAATATATGTCTATATAAAAAAAGGATAAAATATGTTTATTGTAAATACAGAATATCCGAAAACACTTGGGGTATGCCGTTAAACCAGTTGATGTTATCTTTATGTATATAACTAATACTGTCTATTAAACGCAGGTAAAGTGTTGTTACATTGTGATACATGTTACCGCGAAAGGAGTATGTATGCTTAGGAACGAGTGTAGTTGGCTTATAAAGAGAGAAGCTAATGGGTTCTAGTCAAGCAAGTTATAAGTGCAAGTGATTTAATCTAAATGTGAACAGGAAAGTTTTTTTTTTTTCTTGGTGCGTATCAGGGTGTGGTGAGGAAATGAGACAATGTGCGTGATTTTCAATAGTTTTTGTTTGTTCTATGCCTGTGGGAGTACATCATTGCTACTGTTTAAGGATTCGTGTGCTTTTCCACTCGCTTTCACACTGTGGCGAAAGACAGCAAACACAGAAATAAATAAATAAAAAAAAATGGACAGTAAGCTCATTGTTGTAATGCTTGCTGTTCTTCGTATAGCTTCCAGTGTCATAGAGTAGTCCAATTCATGTCGACAAATGGCTTTTTTTTCCTTTATACACAATAAACACTGGCGATGTAAAAGCAGAATCAACAATTTTTTTTATATGTATTTATAATCCGAAAGTCAAGACGATTGCAAGGGCGTTTTACAGAATAATATGGAGACTGAAGTGAATCTGTTCGTATACGATGCGATTTGCAACTCTGCGAACACGGCTGGAAAGAGTTTTATATCAGTAAGTTATTCGCGTTGATCGATCAAATCATGACCGATGTATAAAGTTTATGAATGGTTTTCCCATAACGTTATATCTTTCCATCGATTTCCCTGAGTTGCATGCATCATATGACGAACCATTTTACTCTCTCTCAGTGGCTGTCTGCATTCGAACCCTTTAATCAAAACACCTTTACAAAGACCATGAGTCATCTGGTGCTTCAAGACGTGGTGAGAATATACCTATTGGAGAAAACACGATGGAATACCGTCTCTTGTGTCAAAAGACCTCATAGATTCGGTCTTCGCTTTTGTTGTAAAAGTTGGTACTGTATTTGGTGTTACTCATATGCGTTGGAGTGGCGTTGGTATTTGTCGGAGATTCGTACGATCTGAGAATGTCTTTCTACGAGTGTTTTGGTATGTGTGCGTACTTTATGAACCAAAATTTCGAAAAGTTTCATCGCAGAAAAAAAGTGGATTAAAAGAACGATGGAATAGAAGTTACACAGACTCGTGGATATTGTGAAGAGATAAATCTGCCTTGATAATACGCAAAAATGATTTTTTTAAATAATGTGTTATCGAAGAGAAATGAAATACAAACACCCTTGCCCTATTTTTTCGAAATAAAAGTCCTTGGAAAAACAGTGATATGTTGTGTTCAAGTGTGGACTGTTCATACCTTGTGATATGTATTGTGCCATCTGTTTCTCCTGCAATGGAGAGGACCGTGAATTTGTTTATAACTGATCAGAAAAATAACATTTCAAGTCCAAGACACACATTTATACTAGTCAACACAAGTAGATATCGTTAAGCCTTCTTATAGATTTCCAATTTGGGCATTTACATTTTAATCATCGGGGCACAGAGCATCTATATATTCTAGTT